CCCTCACCTGTCCCCATGCCCCTCACCTGTCCCCATGCCCTTCCTCTGTCCTCAGTCCTGTCCCCTATCCTCAGTCCCCCCTAAACTGTCCCCAGTCCCCTTGCTAGTCCCCAGTCCTGTCCCCTCCCCTGTCCTCTGTCCCTGACCAGTCCCCCGACCTGTCCCCATGCCCCTGTCCCTGTCTGCTCCCCTGTCCCCATGTCCCTCCCCTGTCCCTGTCCTGTCCCCATGCCCCTGTCCGCTCCCCTGTCCTCTCTCCTGTCCCCATGCCTCTCCCATCCCTGTCCCTGACCTGTCCCCCGACCTGTTCCCCTGTCCCTGTCCCCTGTCCCTGCCACTGTCCCTCTCCCCTGTCCCTGACCCCTCCCATGTTCCTTTTCCCTCCCCTGTCCCTGCCACTGTCCCCATGCCCCTGTCTCTGTCCCCTCCCCTGTCTGTCCCCTGTCCCTGTCCCTTCCCCTGTCCCTGTCCCTTCCCCTGTCCCTGTCCCCTCTCCTGTCTGTCCCCTGTCCCTGTCCCCTCCCTTGTCCCTGTCCCTTCCCATGTCCCCTCTCCTGTCTCTGTCCCTTCCCCTGTCCCCTCTCCTGTCCCTGTCCCTTCCCCTGTCCCTGTCCCCTCTCCTGTCTGTCCCCTGTCCCTGTCCCTTCCCCTGTCCCTGTCCCCTCTCCTGTCTGTCCCTGTCCCTTCCCCTGTCCCTGTCCCCTCTCCTGTCTGTCCCCTGTCCCTGTCCCTGTCCCCGTCCCAGACCTGTTGACCAGGTCCTGCAGTTTCTGCATGGGCTCGGGCTCGCCGTCGCGCCCGCAGGTCAGGATCTCCCGCCCGTCGTACACGCGGATGATCCGGTCGGCCGTGTTGATCAGGAAGCAGCTGCAGCAGAACGGGGACAAATCCATGAAAAAACAATCAATCAATCAATCAATCAATCACAAATCCCGTCCTGCGGCAGAGCTGAGGGCTCTGAGGAGCTCCCTGCAGTCCCCGGATCCCCACGGGGCGCTCACCTCCCTTTGCGGGCGAACTCGATGGATTTAATGGCCGTGGTGTTGCTGGTCCCTGTGGTCACTCTGAAGGAAGCAACAAGATCCTGAGTGTCTGTTTTTAAGACCAAGATCTGAAGATTGAGCAGACAGAGAACAATCAGTGGCTTCACCTGAAACAGAACCCTGGGAGCCCACCCGGGGACGCTGCGGGAGCTGCTGAGACAGAAACGCAGGGAAAACGTCCCAAAAATGTGTCAAAAAAACCGTCAAAGATCCCAAAACCCCTGAGGTTGGAAAACCCCTCCAGGATCCTCAAGAAATCCCTCACCTGTTCCCTGAACCCTGCAGCCATCTCTGCACCTGTCCCTGTTCCCTAAATCCTTCCCTGCACCTGTCCCTGTTCCCTAAATCCTTCCCTGCACCTGTCCCTGTTCCCTAAATCCTTCCCTGCGCCTGTCCCTGTTCCCTAAATCCTTCCCTGCGCCTGTCCCTGTTCCCTAAATCCATCCCTGCGCCTGTCCATGTTCCCTAAATCCTTCCTTGCGCCTGTCCATGTTCCCTAAATCCTTCCCTGTGCCCCTCACCTCTTCCCAAATCCATCCCTATGCCTGTTCCCCAAACACCTTCCTGTGCACCTCACCTGTTCCCCAAATCCATCCCTGTGCCCCAAATCCCTCCCCAGGCCCCTCAGTGCTCCCCAAACCCATTCCTGTGTCCCTCACCTTTTCCCCAAACCCATCCCTGTTCCCAAACCCAAATCTGTGACTGTCTCTGCTCCCCAAATCCATCCCTGTGCCACTCACTGTCCCCCAAACCCATCCCTGCTCCCCAAATCCATCCCTGTGCCACTCACTTCTCCTGAAATCCACTCCTGCTCCCCAAACCTATCCCTGCTCCCCAAACCCTTCCCTGTGCTCCTCACTGCTCCCCAAACTCATCCCTGCTTCCCAAACCCATTCCCGTGCCTCTCACTGCTCCCCAAATCCATCCCTGTTCCCCAAATCCATTCCTGTGCCCTTCACCTGTTCCCTAAATCCACTCCTGCTCCCCAAACCCATTCCTGTGCTCCTCACTTCTCCCCAAGCCCATCCCTGCTCCCCAAACCCTTCCCTGTACCCCTCCCTGCTCCCCAAACCCATCCTTGTTCCCCAAATCCATTCCTGTGCTTCTCCCTGCTCCCCAAACCCCTCCCCGTGCCCTCACCCACCAAGGTGTCCCATTCCCACCCCGAGCACTCAGTGCCACCTCCAGGGTCGGACACCCCAAACCCTCCTGGGGCACTTCCAAAGCCTGACCCCCAATTTTCCATGGGGAATTCCTGCTGCTGCCTGGCCCTGGGCCCTGCCCCGGGAGGAAGGCTCGGTGCCCCGGGAGGAAGGCTCGGTGCCCCGGGAGGTTTTCCATGGGGAATTCCTGCTGCTGCCTGCCCTGCCCTGCCCCGGGGGGAGGTTTTCCATGGGGAATTCCTGCTGCTGCCTGGTCCTGCCCTGCCCCGGGAGGTTTTCCATGGGGAATTCCTGCTGCTGCCTGCCCTGCCCTGCCCCGGGAGGTTTTCCATGGGGAATTCCTGCTGCTGCCTGCCCTGCCCTGCCCCAGGGGGAGGTTTTCCATGGGGAATTCCTGCTGCTGCCTGCCCTGCNGGGGGAGGTTTTCCATGGGGAATTCCTGCTGCTGCCTGCCCTGCCCTGCCCCGGGAGGTTTTCCATGGGGAATTCCCGGTGCTGCCCGGGGGTCCCGGGGGTGGGGCTGACCTTGCCCTTGGCGTTCCCGGTGTAGATGTATTCCCCCCGGCGGTCAAACGAGGCCACCACGTTGAGGTCGGAGTCGTCGTCCACAGGCAGCACCACGTGCTTGGAGTCCGACAGGGTCAGCATCACCGGGGCCGACTTCATGGGACACACCAGCACCCTGTTCCTGCAACGCCAGGGAGAGCTGGGAATTCCGGCCTTTGGGAAGGGTTCCCACGGCCAAAAACATCGGGGTGGATCGAGGGGTTCAGGAAATTCAGGAGGTATTGGGAAGGGTTTTCATGGTTAGAGCTAAAAAACATCGGGGTGGATCGAGGAATTCAGGAGATCTTGGGAAGGGTTTCCATGATTAGAAGTAAAAAAACACTGGGGTGGATCGAGGAATTCAGGAGACCCTGGGAAGGGTTTCCATGATTAGAGCTAAAAAAACACTGGGGTGGATTGAGGAATTCAGGAGATCTTGGGAAGGGTTTCCATGATTAGAGCTAAAAAAACACTGGGGTGGATTGAGGAATTCAGGAGATCTGGGGAAGGGTTTCCAGAAAAAAAAACATTGAGGTAGATCAAGGAGTTCAGGAGACCCTGAGAAGGGTTTCCATGATTAGAGCTAAAAAAACATCGGGGTGGATTGAGGGATTCAGGAAATTCAGGAGATCTTGGGAAGAGTTTCCATGGTTAGAGCTAAAAAACATCGAGGTGAATCGAGGGATTCAGGAAATTCAGGAGATCTTGGGAAGGGTTTCCATGGTTAGAGCTAAAAAAGCATCAAGCTGGATCAAGGAATTCAGGAGATCTTGGCAAGCATTTCCAGCAAAAAAAACCACTGAGCTGGATGGAGGAGCTCAGGAGATCCTGGGAAAGCCTGCTTTAATTTCTTTCCCACCTCCGAGCTTGTGCGGGAATTTCAAACCCAACCACGCATTCCCACCTCCTGACCCTCCCAAAAACCCAACCCCGAGGATTCCAGGGGGAATCCCCGGAAGCAGCTGGGAGGATCCCGGGACACTTACTGGTCGCGGGGGTGGTACTGGACCTTGAGGATGGGCGAGGGGAAGCGGAAGCGCTGGTCGCAGTCCCCGGACAGAACGTCCCACTGCGACACGATGTTGTCCGTGGAGGCGCTGACCAGCTTGTGCCCGTCCCGGCTCCAGCTGCGGCACAGGGAGGGAATTCCCAAAAATGTCATTCCTTGAAGGTCAGGGTGGGGGAAAGGAGCCCAGGGAATTCCCAAAAATGTCATTCCTTGAAGGTCAGGGTTGGGGAAAGGAGCTCAGGGAATTCACAAAAATGTCATTCCTTGAAGCTCCAGCTGCGGCACAGGGAGGGAATTCCCAAAAATGTCATTCCTTGAAGGTTGGGGGTGGGAAAGGAGCTCATGGAATTCACAAAAATGTCATTCCTTGAAGGTCAGGGTCAGGGAAAGGAGCTCAGGGAATTCACAAAAATGTCATTCCTTGAAGGTCGGCAGGGGGAAAGGAGCTCAGGGAATTCACAAAAATGTCATTCCTTGAAGGTCGGCAGGGGGAAAGGAGCTCAGGGAATTCCCAAAAATGTCATTCCTTGAAGGTCAGGGTGGGGGAAAGGAGCTCAGGGAATTACCAAAAATGTCACTCCTTGAAGGTCGGCAGGGGAAAGGAGCTCAGGGAATTCCCAAAAATGTCATTCCTTGAAGGTCGGCGGGGGGGAAAGGAGCTCAGGGAATTCCCAAAGAATGTCGTTCCTTAATGGTCGGGGGGAAGGACTTGGAATTCACAAAGTTATTCCTTACAGGAGTCAAATGCAGCCAGGGGAAAGGAGCTCAGGGAATTCCCAAAAATGTCATTCCTTGAAGGTCAGGGTGGGGGAAAGGAGCTCAGGGAATTCCCAATAAATGTATTCCTTACAGGAATCAAATACATCCAGGGGAAAAGGCCAAATCCAGCCACAGAGAAAAGGAGAGCTGGGGATTCCATGGGGACTCCTGCAGTTCCCAAGGGATTCCATGGGCATTCCCAGAGGATTTCATGGGGATTCCCTGGGGATCCCTGAGGGATTCCATGGGGGATTCCTCAGGGACTCCTGCAGTTCCTGAGGGATTCCATGGGAATTCCATGGGCCTTCCTGGGGGATTCCATGGGGATTCCCAAGGGATTCTGTGGGGACTCCTGCAGTTCCTGAGGGAATGGGCTTCCCAAGGGATTCTGTGGGGATTCCATGAGGGCTCCTGCAGCTCCTGAGGGATTCCATGGGGGTTTCATGGGCATTCTTAAGCTCCCTGGGGATCCCTGAGGATTCCCTGGGGACTCCTGTAGTTCTTGAGGGATTCCATGGACATTCCTAGGTGATTCCACAGGGACTCCCAAGGGATTATGTGGGGATTCCATAGGGATTCCTGAGGGATTTTCTGGGGACTCTGTGGGGACTCCAGCAGTTCCCTAGGGATTCTGTGGGACTTCCATAGGGATTCCCTGGGGATTTCATAGGAATTCCATGGGGATTCCATGGACATTCCCAGGTGATTCCACGGGGACTCCCAAGGGATTCTGTGGGGATTCCATGGGGATTCCTGAGGGATTTCCTCTGTGGCGACTCCAGCAGTTCCCCGGGGATTCCGTGGGAATTCCGTGGGGATTCCGTGGGGATTCCCTGGCGATCCCACGGGACTCACCAGAGGGAGCAGACGGGGTGGATGTGGGCGCTGATGATCTTGGCGATGCCGCGGGTCAGGAAGTCCCAGATGACGATGCGGCCGTCGTTGCAGCCCACGGCCAGCAGCGTGCCCCAGCGGTTGAAGGTGCACGTCAGCGCCATGCTGATGCAGTCCAGCGTGCCGTCCGCCTCCTGCGGGGACAGCGGGGACAGTGGGGACAGTGGGGACAGCCACGGCGGGGACAGCGGGGACAGTGAGGACAGCCACGGTGGGGACAGCGGGGACAGTGAGGACAGCCACGGCAGGGACAGCGGGGACAGCCACGGTGGGGACAGCAGGGACAGTGGGGACAGCCACGGCAGGGACAGTGGGGACAGTGGGGACAGCCACGGCGGGGACAGCGGGGACAGCCACGGCGGGGACAGTGAGGACAGCCACGGCGGGGACAGCGGGGACAGCCACGGTGGGGACAGCAGGGACAGTGGGGACAGCCACGGCGGGGACAGTGGGGACAGTGGGGACAGCAGGGACAGTGGGGACAGCAGGGACAGCAGGGGACAGCCACAGCAGGGACAGCAGGGACAGTGGGGACAGCAGGGGACAGCCACAGCAGGGACAGCGGGGACAGTGGGGACAGCAGGGACAGTGGGGACAGCAGGGGACAGCCACAGCAGGGACAGCGGGGACAGTGGGGACAGCAGGGACAGTGGGGACAGTGGGGGGACATGGTAGAGACAGCACAGGGAAAGCGGGGACAGAGAAGGGACAGGGTGGGGACAGGGTGGGGACAGCAGGGTCATGGTAGGGACAGAGCGGGGACACGGTGGGGAGGGCAGGGGAACAGGGTGGGGACAGGGCAGGGACAGCGGGGGCACAGAGCAGAGATGGTGGGAGAGAATGGGGGACAGCACGGGGACATTGCAGGGAGAATGGGGGGACATGGTAGAGACAGCACAGGGAAAGCAGGGACAGCGTGGGGACAGCATGGGGACAGGGTGGGGACAGCGGGGTCATGATAGGGGCAGAGCAGGGACAGCAGGGGACAGTGGGGGGGATATGGTAGAGACAGCACAAGGAAAGTGGGAACAGGGTGGGGACAGGGTGGGGACAGGCCCAGGACAGAGTGGGGACAGTGGGAGAGAATGGGGGACAGCGGGGGGACATGGTAGAGACAGCACAGGGAAAGTGGGAACAGGGTGGGGACAGTGTGGGACAGGGCAGGGACACAGCAGGGACAGTGTGGGGACAGTGCCCGTCCGGGACCCGCCCGACCCGGTGACACCCGTGAGAGCCGGTGCGACCCAGCCAGGCCCAGCCGGACGAGCTCAGCCCGGGTCAGACCCGCTCAGACCCGGTGAGTCCGCCCGGTCCCGCCCGGTGCCGCCGGTACCTCGGGGTAGTTCTGCCCGAAGGACTCTGCGGACGAACGAACGGAGCGGCGGCTCAGCGGGAGCGGCCCCGCCGGCCCCGCTCCTCCTCATTCCCGTCCCGCTCCCGCTCGCTGCCGCCGCTCCAGCCCCCGCCCCTCGGCCGCTCCCGCTCCGCTTCCCGCTCCCGTTCCGATTCCCATTCCCGGCCCCGGTTCTCGTTCCGATTCCCGCTCCCGTTCCCGTTCCCGAGCAGCTCTAGGTTCATCACTCCCATTCCCATTCCCGTTGTTCCCGTTTCTCACCGAGCAGCTCCAGGTTTATCGCTCCCCTTCCTATTCCCGTCCCCATTCCCGCTCCCATTCCCGGTTCCCGTTTCCCACCGAGCAGCTCCAGGTTCATCGCTCCCGTCCCCATTCCCGGTTCCCATTCCCATTCCCGTTGTTCCCATTCCCATTCCCCACCGAGCAGCTCCAGGTTCATCGCTCCCGTCCCCATTCCCGGTTCCCATTCCCATTCCCGTTTCCCACCGAGCAGCTCCAGGTTCATCGTTCCCGCTCCCGTCCCCATTCCCATTCCCGTTGTTCCCGTCCCCATTCCCCACCGAGCAGCTCCAGGTTCATCGCTCCCGCTCCCATTCCCGTTCCCCATTCCCTTTCCCGTTCCCATTCCCGTTGTTCCCGTCCCCATTCCCCACCGAGCAGCTCCAGGTTCATCGCCGCCGCCGCCGCCGCCGCCGCCGCTCGCGCTCCCTCCGCTCCCGTCGCCGAAGGACCCCGCGGGGGCCTGCCCGGCGCCGGCCCCGCCGTTCGCCTGACCAGCCGCCGCTCCTTCCCTCCGCCCCCGCCGCGGCTCTCGGCGCGCCCCGGGCCGGCTCCGCGCGCCCCTCCCGGCGGGCTCGGGCAGCGGCGCCGCTCGCTCCCGGCGCGGCGGCGGGGCCGGGAGCGGGAACGGGCGGCGGCGATCAGGCAGCGCGGCGGGCAGCCCCGGCGCGGCGCGCGGAAGGGGCCGGGCGGGCCCCGCGGCCGCGCAGGAAGGTTCCGGGAAGAGGGAGCGGTAATAAAGTAGCACTAATAATTAAATTAATTAAAATAAATCTTATTCTAATAATTAACTAAAATACCAGGGGGAGATGGGCCCTTGCCGGTGTTGCCTGGTTTTCTACTGGAAAGGACTGGCTGCTTTTGGTAAAAGGGAAAGAAAAAATAAAATAAAAGGAAAGAAAAAGGAAATTAATTAAATTAAATGTTAAAAAATTATAAAATAAAATATAAAACATAAAATACCAAAAGATATATAACAAAATACTTTTTAAAAAGGAAAAAATAAATTTAAATTTAATTTTTAAATTTTAACTTAATTTTTAAATTAAATAATAAAAATATAAAAAATAAAATAAAATATTAAAACTAGAGAAAAAATTAAAGGAGAAAGTAAAATAAAAATAAAAAATAAAATAAAGCAAAATAAAATAAAATAAAACAAAACAAACCCTGATATGAGGCATAAAAATCTCCCAACACCAACTCCAGGCAGGCAGAGAAAATAAACTTCGGACATGCTGGAGATTCCCAAATTCCAGCCCAAAATCCCCCCAGGGAAATTCCCAAAATCCCCCCAGGGAAATTCCCAAAATCCCCCCAGGGATCATGAGGAACCGCTCGGGCTCCGAGCTCAGCCTCACCCCCCGGCAGCGTTCCCGCCCCTCCCGGGGCCATTCCCGCTTTTCCAGAGATTTTTCCTCAAAACCATTCCCACTTTTCCAGAGGATTTCTCCAAGTGTCATTCCCGCTTTTCCAGAGGTTTTTCCTGAGGGTCATCCCCATTTTCCAGAGGTGTTTCCTCGGAGCCATTCCCGCTTTTCCAGAGTTTTTCCCAAGGGTCATTCACACTTTTCCATAGATTTTTTCCCTCAAAACCATTCCTGCTTTTCCAGAGGATTTCTCTAAGGGCCATTCCCACTTTTCCAGAGGCTTTTCCTGAGGCCATTCCCACTTTTCATGGGGTTCTTCCTCAGAGCTGTTCTCGCTTTTCCAGAGCTTTTCCCAAAGGTCATTCTCACTTTTCCAGAGTTTTTTTCCTGAGGCCATTCCTGCTTTTCCAGAGGATCTACACAAATCCACTCTGGGAATGCCAGAAAAGGGATTGGATCCATAAAAAAAATCCTCTGGAATGCCACAGTAGGGATTAGATCCATAAAAAACTCTCTGGAATTCCAACACAGGGATTATATCCATAAAAACCCACCCTGGGAATGGCAGGAAAAGTTGGATCCATCCAAATCCATTTTGGGAATGCCAAAACAGAGATTAGATCCATAAAAACCTCTCTGGAATTCCAACACAGGGATTGGATCCATAAAAAACTCACTCTGGAAGTGGCAGGAAAAGTTGGATCCACCCAAATCCATTTTGGGAATGGCAGAGCAGGGATTGGATCCATAAAAAAACCCCTCTGGAATGGCAGGAAAAGTTGGATCCATCCCACCAGGAATTCCAGCACATCTCCCACGGGTGCAGGGAAGGAATAAAAAAAAAAAAACAAATTTTTTTTTTTCCTCCATAAAAAGCTCCTGAATCCATTTTATTGCACAAAGAAAGGAAAAGATTCCCAACAAAACCCATCCTCGGCCACGGGCAGCTGGAATTGCAGCCAAGGAATTCCACCTTCCCTGGGAATTCCAGGGAGAATTCCCCAACTCCTCAGCTCCTCACAGAGCCACCAATCCTGCTCCAGACCAGCCCAATTCCACCCCAAAAATGCAGGAAGCAAACTGGGATTTCCAGGAATTTGGGAAAGACAACCTTGCCCAGGATCCCCCTCTTCCCTATCCCCATTTTTATTTTATTTTTTTAAATTTATTTTATTCTTCCCAACCAAATTCCAGCCCTGGAGTGAAAGGGAAGGGAAGAAGGAAGGATCTTTCTTCCCATCCAACTTGGGGAAAAAAAGCTGGAAAATCCTCATTTTTTTAAAACATTCCCGTGCACGCTCAGCCCAAGTTAAAACTGCCACGACAATCCCATGAATTCCAAGGCCCAAATCCTGATTTTGAAAGGAATTTTGGCACTTTCCCCCACGGGAAAATCAATATTTTTAAGGAGTTTTTGTGCCGCTGCGAAGCGGATCCTCTGAGGAACGCGGCGTGGAAGCGAGGGAAGGTTTCTCCAGGCATTCCAAGAAATTGAAGGAAGCAAAGGAGAAGGGAAAAAAAGAGGGAAAAGTGGGATTTGGGATCAATAGCTTATCCAGGTGGGGTTTTCCAAGTCCCCGTAGAAAAAACACGGAAGCTTTGCTCCTGTCCATGTAAACATTTCCAGCTCCTTGGAGCTTCCCAACGTTTCCTTATCCCAAAGTTTTGTGCCTTTTCCTTCCTCTCCCAGCGCTCTGGAATTGCTGCCAAGGGCAGAGGGAGGAGCGGGATGGTTCACCCGGGGTTTTGGGAAGGGATTTTCCCATCCCAAAAATCTCGCCCAAGGCTGGGATTGGGACTGGCAAAGTCCCACCCGTGAGGCCAAAGGGTTTGGGATTTCCAGCCCTTGGCCACACGATTCCGTAGGGATAACGGGGTGGGAATGGGATGGAGCTGCCAGCCCTGTCCCAAATAATTCCATGGGGTAACGGGATGGGAATGGGATGGAGCTGCCAGCCCTGTCCCAAATAATTCCATGGGGTAACGGGGTGGGAATGGGATGGAGCTGCCAGCCCTGTCCCAAATAATTCCATGGGATAACGGGGTGGGAATGGGATGGAGCTGCCAGCCCTGTCCCAAATAATTCCATAAGGATTGGGATGGAGCTCCCACCCCTCTGTCCCAAACAATTCCATGGGATAACAGGCTGGGATTGGGATGGAGCTGTCACCCCCTAAGCCCTTTGGAGGTCCTCTCTGTCCCAAATAATTCCATAGGGATAACAAGGTGGAATTAAGATGGAGATGCCACTCCCCTGTCCTACACAATTCCATAGGGATAACGGGGTGGGATTGGGATGGAGCTGCCACCCTGTCTCACACAATTCCATAGGGATAACGGGGCGGGATTGGGATGGAGCTGCCACCCCTCAGAGCTCATCCCTGTCCCAAATAATTCCATGGGATAACAAGGTGGGAATGGGATGGAGCTGCCAACCCGTCTCACACAGTTCCATAGCGATAACGGGGTGGAATTAGGATGGAGCTGTCACCCCCTGTCCCACACAATTCCATAGGGATAACAGGGTGGAACTGGGATGCAGCTGCCACCCCCTGAGCCCCCTCTGTCCCAAACAATTCCATGGGATAACGGGGTGGGATTGGGATGGAGCTGCCACCCCTCGGAGCTCCTCCCTGTCCCCCCTCGGGGCTGGCTCGCAGCAGAGGCGGGGCTGGAATTCTCCCAAATCCCGCCGCAATTCCCGAATCCAGGCGCGCTTCCCGCTCAGGTGGAGTCATCCAGGCCTTTGGTGGGATGCTCGGAGCCGGGCCGGCAGAGCCTGTCCATGATTCCCTGGAGCATGGGCTGCACGATTCCCAGGAGAGGCCGCTGGGAGGGGTCCCCGGCCCAGCAGGCTTCCATCAGCTGCCAGCATTCCTCGTCAAACACCGGGAGCCGCTCCGGCCGCACCCCTGCAACACACCGGGAATGCCTGGAATTCCCAGGGAAAGCCCTGCCCCCGCTCACATCCAGGGAATTCAAGTGGCATAGTGGGATCACCAGGAATTCCCAGGGAAAGCCTTGCCCCGTGCTCACATCCAGGGAATTCAGGTGGTACAGCGGGATCACCAGGGATTCCCAGGGAAAGCCTTGCCCCGTGCTCATATCCAGGGAATTCAGGTGGTACAGCGGGATCACCAGGAATTCCCAGGGAAAGCCTTGCCCCGTGCTCA